AGATGTTGTCCTTGAGAAAAATATTCTGAAATAAAGAAAATAGTCCCCATCAGTATAGCCAGTAGCATTCTTTTGAGAAGCATTGGTAGTAATAGCCACTTAACCACTTTAGCCTTCACAAAAACTGAACGAATTTGAAAAAAGAAACTGGAGATGAAGATTATTATATGCCAAAGTTAGAATGCAGAGGACAAATTAAATCTTCTTTTTTTTTTTTTTCCTATCTCCCTGTATATATTCTCAACTTTAGGACCACAATACATACCCTACTAGATATTGGTATGAATATTTTCCAATTATAGTTTCGTCTTTTAGAAAAGTGGGAAGACTGTATTATCTTAATCAGAGAGAGGAACATTTTGGAATGGATATTCAAATATCTGTGATGTCTTAAGCCCTTAAGTTCTGTGCTGCATGGTAGCATTACTAATAGTACTAATCATTTTTCATGGTTCTGTTTGCAAATAATAAAAATGAAGTGTTACTAGAGCAAGTGAATGCTCTAGTTTCTTATAAAACTGAGTTTTGGCCGTTGATAGCTATCATATCCTGATGGTTGAACAGTGTTTCTTTTACTTCCTTTGAATCCTATGGGCATAGCACTTGGAAGGCAAAAGTCACCTCAGAATTTATGTAGCCCAGTAACCTCATGTTACAGATGAAGGCTTTTAGATTCAGAGAGGTTAAATGAGTTGCTGCCTAGTGCTCAAAATGTCGCTGGAGTGGAACTCTTCTGATATTGTTCCCTCTCCACCACGCTGCTCAAACTTGATCTGTATGAACTGGCCGGTTGTGTTCGGTATCGTACGGCCGTAACCTGCTTAACATTCCTCATACAAGCTTTTAATCAGATCCTGGGTACTGTCTGCAGAACCCACAATAACTAGGCAGCTTTCTTGCCTAGTTTATCTTTTAGAGTATTTAGAACAAAATTATTGCCTATGATATTTACATACATACTTTGTTTTTCTTTTTTAAATTCACAGACAATTTGAAATGGTTATTCCCACCGAAGACTCCGTTATCACAGAAATGACATCAACATTAAGAGACTGGGGAACGATGTGGAAACAACTCTATGTGGTAAGTAACTTTTTAATGGCATGATTTTTCAGGTAGAGAATAGTTTTGAGAAATATCTAAACATGAGTAAGCATCAACTAATATTACAGCACCTGCTATAAGTCACTAGGACTCCTTGGGGCAAGATACAGATCTTAATGAGACACAGTCTTGTAATCTCTGTGTCCACTGAGCATGGGTTTTATGTTATTTTTCAATACTACGGGAATATAAAAGATGATTTTTCTGTCATCTAAACAAATAGGATGGTTTACATGGGCCTAGTGTTGGACTTCCTGAATATTTTTAATTTTTAGGGAGAAAGAAGCTTATCTTCAATAAAATTTTGGTGGTAGCGGTATTTTATCATATTCTAATTCTGTAAATCATTCAAGTACACTGTAAATGACAGACTTCTTAGCCAGAATCAATAAGAATATTCTAAATATGCTAGAGAAAAGGGATGTTTCTTGGTGGAAAAAAATCTATGTTTAGGGGTATCTTGTGTATGTATAAATTTATTTGCTTATAAGTAATTACATTATGGAGCACTTGCTACATGGCAAACCCCACGGGAAGTACTCTGTATGCGGAATCTCCTTTAATCCTCACAACCACTCATGGAAATAATAGCTGTGACCATCTCCGGCTTACAAATGAGAGAAATGAGGCGCAGAGAGTGAAGTACTTGCTCTAGACCAAGTAATGGGAAAGTGGCGAGCTGGGATTCTGATGCGGATTTGCCGCTCTCATTCTGAACCCCACTAATCGTGTGGAAATCTGGGGGTGCTGAAGTGTTCAGAAAGATAAATTCTATCTCTTTTTTCATTTTCAAAGAAATTTATAGAATAGCTTAATCATTTGAAGGGATGCGTTCAAAATACAAAAGTATACTTATCCTGCCAAAATGATTTGAAACAGCCTGTCAAAGAGAAAATCCAAATTAGTGAGGGACATTGGCACAGAATGACAGTTTTTGTCTGTTACATCTAAAATGCAATAGGATATTTCGTTGAGGCAAGAAAATCTTACAAAGTCACTAATAAAAACGCTTTGATGTTGGACTTCTCTAATTATACTGTCCTGGAGCTTTGCGACTCACTATGAAAATCCACAAGGCAGTCTTAGATGAATTGCCAGAGTGTAGGTTTTGTAAATACAAAGTCAAGACAACTGACTTCCAGGGCTCTGTGCTGGCAAGGTGCGAAGGAAATGCAGATCTCCTTTGTAGATTTTTTTTTTTAATTTGTGTTAGAAAGACTACAAAATCCCAGTATTATTTCACTTCAAGTAACATTGTGCATGACACTAATGTGGAAAAAGAAAAAGAAACTATTTGAAATGTTCCAACTACCACATCCTAAATATCCAACCTAAGAGAGTTATAAAAATAATGACAATGTAAATGTTGTCCGTTAGTTGAGCTAAAGCACCAACACTTTTCCTTTTATGTAGCTAATAGTGAGGAACAAAGTTGAATTTCCTCTGGATTCTGCCTTATTTAGCTATTTTTACCTGCTTTTGATAGTGTGAGCATTTATTTTGGAACAGGCTTGGTTGGTTTGAAAACCTATGTGTTGTAAATTCTAGAAGTAACTTCCTTTCCTTTTAGTGTTCTAAGTAATGGGAAAGAAAGAGAATTGTCTAAGTGTCTCCCTGGATACTGGCATGGTAGTCAGTTATGTTAGGATCAAATGTAAATTTTAACCTGGAGAAATTAGAATTTTGACATTGGGAATGAGACTACCTTGGCCATGTCAGACCTTCTGGTTTCTCTTTTCCTCATGTAAATGTTTTGTGTCAAATGTTTTGGTTCAAGTTCATCATATTTGAGTATATTTAGGGTATTGTCCATCTTCTTTCCAACAGTGTTAAGGCCTTTAGCTTCTTCACTCAAAGAATTTTGATGAGTGTAATAATATTTTGTAAATTGTAAGCAGTATATGAGATAGTATATGTCAAACACTTAGCATAAAAGCACATGGTGAATGCTCGAGAAATGCTAATTGCTCTTTTAAATAACATTGGTTTAAAGGCCTAAATAATACTCTTTAAAGTATCACTTAATCATATATCAGTAATGTAGCCACAAAAACTTTAGGAGAAATACAGCAGCCATCTTTTACTGAGTATTTTTGTGCAGGTCCTGGGCTGGATATCTTACATCTTTCTTCCCTGGGGCTATGCCAGATAGTTTTTATTCTCAAATCTTATCAAACATAACTTATCCAGGACCTCATGCTAAGTGGTAAAGCCTGAATCTAAATCTAGGTCTGCTGCTGCTAAAACTTGCCCTGTTTTCATTTTAAGGCAAATAAAAACTTCCCCATTCTCTAAAAACTAAAATACAATTAACTCTTTGCTACATTTCTGTTATATTGCCAGAATTTCTAGGTACTGTTTTATTCCAAAGGTTTAATATCGTACCCTACATTTTTCATTTAACACTAAATCAAAAGTATCTTTTTATATTTCTGCATAGCCTTTATAACTATCCAATTTTTAAGACCAATGTTTAAAGAATCACAATTTTATGACTGGATGTCCAACCAGATATATATATATCTTTTTCTTACACTAGCAGGGCAAATGTGCTGGCCAGGCCTGCAGTATGTCAGTGTTCCTGCACCTCTGGGTTTTCTTCCCTAAAGGGAAAGGTCACCAGCTGGTTTTCAGTTTTATAAAGGATCCTGCTTCCTTCTCATCTTAGTGTTCTCTTAAACTTAAGTACTAGAGGTGACATCATAGAATATCAAGTCCCTCCTACTAACCGACTACAGAATGCTTTCCCCAAGAGCAGGCAGATGATTACTCTCACTGTGACCACTCAGTTCAGGAGGTGCTGGCTCTTTCCTTTGCAGCATTAGATTTTACTTGTTTTATAACTTCCTTATGTAATGTAATGTTTTTGACTTGAGCAGGCTTTTCCTTCCCACCACTGACTTCCTCAAGTGTTTCTTAATCTTCTTTGCTTATTCTTTTGCATGACCCGAACAGAACCCACCTCACAAGGTCCGCAAAAACTAACACCTTTAAATCAAGCTATTCATTCATTCATTCTCCAGCTGCCAGGACTACACCAGGCAGACCCAACCATCGTGGCTGGGTACTTGCAGCCAAGTGGAGAACACAGACACTGAGCAGTTAATTATAAGAGCACTGTGCTACAGGGCTCTGGTAACGACTTGTATGGGAGTGTATGACGTGAATAAAGAGTGAGAAATCATAGAATAATAGGCTCAATACAGTGTTTTAGGAGTAACCTTAGAAGTAAGATTATTTCTGAGAGGATCACAGATGACATCCTGGAGAATGCTTTTTATTTCCTCTGGCACATCTGTCTGACCTGTACAGTACCTAAAAACTCTTCTAGACACAAGTATTGAAAAAGCAGAGAACACGTCATAACTTTTTAAAATAAAAAATATGTTAAAACTGATTGTCTTTACCCATCACAGAGAACTTGATATTTCTGGCAGCTTATAACTGTGTAGAAGTCTGTAGACAGATGATAACCTCAATACTTTTATATCACTATTCCTGTAGTCTACTAATAACTTTTGTGGAAAGTAAAAGTGTAGATTCTGGTTAAGAAAGATGAAGGGTAAGTATTTACATAAGGTCTACATTAATGTCTCTGGGGTAAGAGGTATATATTTTGCTTTTGCTAAAGAGAGAGTATTTGTAGAGGGCTCATTCTGGACCAAGCCCAGAACAATAACAGTACTAGTGATAACTAATACTTACATGATATTTATTCTGGGCCAGCCATTTCTCAGAGTTTTAATAACTCATTAATACTCACAACAGTCCTCTGTGGTAGTTACTGTCATACCCATTTTACAGATGAGAAAACAAGCACAAAGAGGTATTAATAAATTATCAAAGCTTTTTCAGCCAGTAAATGGCAGAATTGGAATTCAGGTTGAAGTTCTTTGGCTCTAAGTCTGTACTCTTTGCCACTGTGCTATAGGGCTCTCTTCATAGTCGTTATCACTAATCCATAAAAGAGCCTCGCAGAAGATAGTACTTCCAGTTTCACAGGTGATAAAACTTACACTCAAAGTCTATAGAACTGCCAGTGGCAAAACCAAGACTTGAAGCCAGGAGATTAACCTGTCTCCTTTCCACCAAACTACATAGCTTAATGAATTTCACAGGAGATGATCTAGAATCTACATGACTGTTTTAAAAGTAAGAAGAAAGCATCATTTTTTTTAATAGGTCTAAATACTGGACAAATAATAGCAATACACATCCATCAGTGAATGAGTTTGCGTACTCACCTTCTGATGGGCGATCCAATAAAGCATTGAGACCAACGTGCAAGAAATCATTGGAAAACAAAGTTTTCCACTTCCTCAGCTTTAGTTGCTTGCAGCCATGGCTCAGAGAAGGGGGAAAGAGAGTGAGCAAGAGTTGACAGGGAAGCTTTCCTAACAGAAGTGGAAGTCAGGCCAAGCTCTGTAGGACAGTAGAATGTGGGGAGAGCTAAAGAAAGGAGCATTTGAGGTGGAAAGGGAGGCAGCGTACGCAAAGCGTGGAGACTGGGCCCAGCTCCAGGTGTGGAGGCGCAGTGAGAAGCAGGAACACAAAGTGTCTCTTGGGGAGTCTGAGAGGTAAAGTTGCATTCTTGGACAGGAGAGCAGAGTTGTGAATGGAAACATACAGAGCAGAGAGAGGAGGGAGTGCGTTTGAGGACGATGAGGGAAGAGTCCGTCTGTTAACGGAGAATCTGTCCACAGGGCGGCAAGCACATCGAGGGTGACCAGGACCTTCCCTTTCCCTTTTCTCTTTGGTTATCCCATAACTCAGTGCGGGGACTGGTTATCAAATCTCCACGTTTGCATCTTTCTTAGAGAAACGAAGGCGATCTCTTCCACCGGCTGTGGCACATCATGAATGAGATCCTGGACCTGCGGCGGCAGGTGCTGGTGGGCCATCTCACCCACGACCGGATGAAGGACGTGAAGCGCCACATCACTGCCAGGCTCGACTGGGGCAACGAGTGAGTACCGACTGTCACAGAGCAGCGTCTGGTGCGTGATCACAACAGAAGTGACATAAGCCTGAGCCAGGACGTGGTAATATTACCAGAGCCAATCCTGTGCATCTTTCCGGTTTTCCTCTTTTGGAGGAAAACTGTCGTTGACGGAGTGGAGAACCACTTCCTCTCCTGCTGGTGTTTGTTCTTTAGTACCTTGTGTGATCTGACAGTGTGCACGTGCTCAAGGAAAATGAAATGTTCCCAGGGGTTAATTAGATATGGCTTCTGGCTAAAATGGATCTTATTTTTAAATACGCTTTGGGTTTGGCATGTGTATGTGCCTTTAATATATATCACTTCCATGTCAGGGTGGCAGGTCGCCAGTGTAATCCGGAGGGAGACACTAATGTTAACAGCTTCTGTTAGAAGCCTTAGGACAAGTGCCCTGGTGGGGCCTTTTACCATTGCTCCGATTGGTCCTGTGCGTGCATATTAGCCATTATTAGGAGCTGCTGGGGAGAACGTAGTAAAAACTGTTCCTGACCAAGATTTATTTTTGAATAAAACTGTGAGTGACTATTTTAAAATATCAGCCAAACACTTAAGTAGTAAATCTAATCACTGAAAGCTCTAACCAATGCTGATACTATACTAAATATGAATATTAATATAGCAGTGAGAAATTAGAATAAGCCAACTTTGACCGCGATCCTAGGGTTGCACAAGGCTTAGGTTTAAGGCAGTGAATGGTTCCTTAATATACTACATGGCCGTATCCTCCCTTCCTTTCCTCTCCCCAAATCCCCGTTAACTATTTTGACCTTCAAAGGATCTTAGGGCAGCAGATAAAAAGAAAAGCAGACAGAAAGGAGAAAATGCCTGTAAGTGAGCGATGGGTAAATTAGCTTCAAATCCGGAAAAACCGATTTGAAACCAGAATGCCGCTTCCCCTAACCATAGGAAGTCACTTTGCCAGAAGCCAAGTGTGATTCCCGCCAAGACGTTACATACTACAGGTACAAATACACAGACCTGCTAACAGATTTTAAACTCTGTACTTCTGGTAGAGTACTTCTGGTATTTTGTTGAACACAATGTGCCCTTCATCTTTTTACAGACAATGAATAGAATAGCCCAATTTATTTATTTCTAGAAGGTTCATTACTGTGAGGAATGAAACAAGTGCAGCTATGGAGGGGCAACAAAAGCATTGGACTAGGAGCTCTACTTTCTTAAGACCTGATGCAAATTCCTGAGCCCTTCTCGATGTCAGTGCTTTATCTGTCAAAGGAGGAAGTTGAACTAGAGAAGATCCAAAGGCCATTTCAGCTCTAGGATGATACAATTTAAAACATGCAGCACCTCGTGACCGATTAGACTTGCCAGCCGCTTGCATGGAGCTTCCCATCCTGCTGCGTGAGCTGAAGTAGGGCCTGGGGAGTAGCTCTAAAGCCCCTGGGAGCATGCCCTGTGCTGCCTGTCTTTCATGTGTTTCTTTATTATTTCGCAAAACCTTTGAGTTTTCTCTGATTTATATTGGCTCTTAGTCATTGTGCTGGTGCTCATTTAAAGGACTAGTTTGTAAATAGGAAGTTGGATGATGTTAGCTTATCAAAAATAACTTAGGAACGTAGAGCAGGCAAGAAAATGATACTTCTTCAGTTTTGTGAAGGAACATGATGGCAGAATGAAAAGGCGAAGGAAGGAAAAACATTAATTATGGCTGAATCATGACTCAGTTTTTGACTTACGTAAGTTCTAGCTTGTACTTTGAGTAGTTCTCTGGCTAATTTATGATAAGTTGGTAAAACATTGATGCATGAAAATGAGCAGTATAATTTATTTAGATCATCCTCAACTTCATGAAGTTTCTGAGCTCTCATTCTGTTTTCTTTGAATTTCTTCGGTCACTTATTTAAAAATAACTTACAGCATAGAGATTATGCATTTACCTTACTCCTTTAAGTATGAACTTGTTTTCTTATTGAATAGTGCTAAAGGGACAGCAAATTAAGATAATTCTCTTGCCCATTAAAGCAGATCAAATTGTGCTACAAACTTATCTGTCAGTATATAAATCTCTAATGAACATAAATTAAGAATGTGTTCTATCTCAGGTTGTATATCAGACTGTTGAAGAGTAGCTCTCTGAACGTGGGAAGCTTGGGAGGAGGAGGATAATCCATCTTATTCTCTAATGGGGACAGCAAAAGAATCATTCTCACCTGGGAGCCTCCGACAGCACTGAAATAATGGCACGTGTTTCTGTTGCCCATAGAGTCCTATGGTGTCCTTGGACTTTCTGGCTAAGATTACATGGGATGGAGGATCAGTTCATCCTTTTTTCCTGATGGTCACAGCATAGTTTAATGACTGAGACGATGTAAAAGGACACCCCTGCACCACGACTGGCTTCCCAGATCCTGTGTGATCTCCCTGCGTCTTGTCTCTCCCCTGCTGGCCTCATTTCTCCTTACTCTTTGTCAAGCACTGCCCTGATTCTATTCTGTGAGCTAAGGAAGCTCAAACAATGGGAGGTTTATCCTAAGGATATACCTCGGAATTAACAAAACCAAATAGAAACAAAGAAGACTCTCTTCACATAGCCAGGCCTTCAGGAAACCAGCAGAAGTTGAACATTCAAGCCTGTGGAAGGAAGGGACTTGCAGGTCACTGGTTTCTGGTGTCATTCATTCTGCAGTGATGTAGATCACCTGCCCTTCAGGTAGCTTGTCTTCCTCATGCCTTGTGGCTGATGTTGTCTGAATTTCCAAGTTCAATCTCTCAAGGAAGGAATCTTATTGACAGCCAATATCTATTATTCCTGTTTGGATTGAATATTTTATACCAGCCTCTCATAAGTTTCTGTCCAGTCCACAGGTTATATGTCCTTAGGTTACGTGCTTACCTTAGTCAGGTGTGGCTCAGTAAGGGGAATGGTCAGATGACTACCTTTTCTGATCCCCTCTTCCCAGTAGAAAATGTGAGAAGAGCAGCTTCTCATGGAAGGAGCTATGGTTAGGCAAGTGCTGTGATTCATATTGGTTATACGTCCTCTTTGCTTTGCTAAGTAATCTTTCATCAGCAATACTGAGCTGGTGTCAAATGACATCTTACATTGTAGTACAGTGGTTCTCTCTTGGAAGGGAGTGAGGATGGGGAACAGACACTACCAGAATCCCTGGTGAGGTGGGGCAAGGGGAGATGGGGACATTTTGAAAAAAAAAAATCACAGTGCTCTTTGTGATTTGAAAATTCAACGATAAATTAAAGAATGGGCATGTGACTTCTTTTTTAAGTTTCTCAAAGAGAAACATCATTTAGGAAAATTGAGAAACTGTTTTAGTATCTGAAAAATAGCTCCTGCTGTCTAGGAGGTGACAATTTTCTAATCTTCTTAAGAACAAATATCCCTGAGGGTGGCTGGGGCAGTGCTTGGCTTGAAGTAGGTGCTGAATTAATACATTTTACTTATGAAACCTTAATGAGATTTTGGGGAGGGCATAGAATTTCAGGATTTTTTTTAATTCAAAAGTAAGAAAGCTGTGGTTCTATAATTGGAAGTGCCACGCTGGAAGGCTTCCATGTTGGAGAGAGTGATGACACGAAAGGGATGCAGGACAAATGATCCTCGGAGAACTGAGCTCGAGACCTGGAGTGTGGTAGTAATTGCGAGGCGTCCATGAGAGAGAAGATGTACTGGCTTTGATCTATAGGGCGTTACAGAAGCATCGGGAAGCCTTTGGATGGTTGGGGATGGTTAAGGAGATGAAGAGAATTATGTGGAATTGGTATCAATGTTGAGCAGTGGGTGTCCTGGAGAGGAGTATGTTCCCAAGGCCACTGGAGGGAAACTGGCCAGAACAAGGTTAGCCTCGCTTTCGTCTGTGGATGACAGGACATCACAAATCAATTACCATACTTGGTCCCTCTGAGGCTGGCTATAACCTTAGAATACTTTTCCACCCAGCAAGCCACATATCAGCTGTAATGAAACCTGACACAAGAGGTTAAACCATTTTGCCACCCAGGACTAGAACTATGCTGCTCCAATTTCTGTTCCCTACCTTCACTGAGTTTCTCCTAATGAGTGACCCTAGAACTTTCTATGAATGAGGACCATGCACAAGTTGCCAGAGGTTCGTGCTAGAAGCATGTTAACTCCGGGCATAGCTAGGTGTTTTGGTGCTAGATCAAATCCTAAAGGCTGAACTTCCCTCTCTGCAACTCCAGTGCCCATAACCAAAGTATGTCTAGCTCTGGTTTCTACTCCACTCTACCCTGCTAGAGAAGTCCTTCTCTGGGGATAGTCTGTCGGGTGCAGAAGGCTTTGTGCCATACAGAGGGCCAAGGGCCCCAGTGGAAGGAACACCCCACTGAGAGTACCTGCCCACCCCTTCTTGATTTCCCCGACTTTGTCACCTTCTGTGATGTTGTTATCACTTCTCAAGTTAAGCCCAGCGTCCAGCCTACTTACATTGTCTACCCCAACTGTGGTAACAAGTCATACAGGGTAAAAAGTACAGGTGGGGGAAGCATGGTGGGTAATTTCAAGGTGGCATAGTAAAAATAATTATTTTTAATACATTTCATGGAGGTGACTTTTCCCCCAAACTTTTTCAATTTGTTTTTTTAGACAACTGGGGCTGGACCTGGTTCCTAGGAAAGAGTATGCAATGGTGGATCCGGAGGACATCAGCATCACTGAGCTCTACCGACTGGTAGGTACAGGAAATCTCCACTTACAGCATCACTGCTAATTTTGTGGTTTCCATGGCACTTTTCATGCTTGCTTGATTTTGTAAGAACAGGATGTTCCAGATTTAATTTGGAGAGAGTGTGGAGAATTGAGAACTGAGGTGACCATGCCCTGAGTACAGTGCCGAGACACTTTACCTATCTCAGAATGATGTAATGCTCTCCAGCAGGCCCTCAATGCCCAGGCACTAGGAAGTAAATTCACAGAAGTGTTCATTCAATTCTTTTGCAAATCTGTATACTTTTTTTTTTTTTGCCTAGTCTGATGAAATGTCTGTCACATGAATCCATCTGTTGTGTTTCAGGACCATGCTGTGACAATGACACCTGGGCATTGCTCACCTCCTGTCCTTGGTCTTCAATGGCTAGTCTTGTACCCATCCCTCCTAGACCCCAGTCCATTCCTAAGGGCTGAAGCCAGTTAATAATCCTAAAATATTTGATCATATTGTCCATCACAGTATCACCTATGACTTGAGTTTATTTCTAGTTATGTGGTAGGTTAAAGTCCAGTTTTTTGGCTTGGCATCTAGATTCCCCAAATCTGGTCCAATCTGCCAGATTGTGTTTAGCCTTATATTCTTAAATACTTGTGTGAAATTTACCAATCTCTTCATATTAACTACAGTCTCTTAAAACCCAAAATCAGTGAAGAAGGTGGGTGGGAAGGGCTTTCAAAGGCCATTACGCTAAGTGTAATTTTACTTTGATCTTGTTACTATTGCTTCTTACCATAAGGTTCCTAGGAGGTGTTCCTCTTGGAAATAGTAGACTCATTTTTGGAAGATCCTACCTCTTGTGGGATAGCTTTCCAAGCTTATAGTAATTTTCTGAGAAGAGTGGATATCCTTAACCTGTAGATTGTCCATATCTGAAAAATTGGGGGAAAAATTATTAATAAGTCCATAGGGGATTGTGTCTGATTAGAGAAGGCAGTTCTTAATATCACTTTGAGTTTTTTCCTTAATCATCAGATTGAAGTTCAGATTATCTACACTTCATTGTGCCAGGTGGAATAAATTCTATTTTTGTAGAGGATTTCCTTTACTGTATGTTGCACTTCCTGGGAGTGGTGTGTGCTGCCTGCCTCTGTGACATCAGTGCTAAGCAGAGTATCTGGCACGTAGCGAGAATATAGTTCAAGATCAGTTGGGGAGGAGGGCAAAGAAGGAACAAATGAGAGTATTCCAAATTAAAGTCATCATGACTTCTTAGCTTATGTAACAAATATAATCCGTATAGTTCATTTGTCAGTCACACCTCTAATGTGACATCTTTATTGTTGCTCATTTATTTAACTCATTGAGCATCAGATTTTTTCTCTGACTTTTAAAATAATCAATCAATTTGAAGTTTCTTCAGGTTGCACACGGAATCTTCTATGTGTGGTCAAAGGTAATCTTGTATAGTGCTTTGCACTTAAGCACCTAGTCATTGTTCTCAAGGTCATTCGGGGTTATTGAGGTATTATGAAAAGACCATGGACTGTGGCTCCAAACAACTAGATTTGCAATTCAGCTCTTCCTTTTACCAGTTCTGTGGTCTTGAACTTACTTAATCTCTTACAGCCTGAGTTTCCTCATACACTAAATGGTGAAATAATTCTTTTCATATTTGTTATGAAGGTTAAATAACAAACATGTAAAATGCCTTTCCCTTGACAAATAATACATGTAAAACACCTAAGCGTTCAGTCACCGTTCATTTCTTTCTCATCTTTATTTCATCTGCTTCCGAAAGACATCATGGAAAGAGTAACTGGTACCTCATATGCTAAATCTTAGGATTAGATTTGGCTATTTTTAATGAAATAAATAATAAAAACTTAGACATGATAGAAACTTATTTCTCAAAATATGCAAGTCTAGAAGCAGGAAGTTCTGAGTTTGTGGTTTCTTGGTGTAAAAAGGGACAACAGGCACTTATCTTTCTGCTGTGCAGTCATATAGCTGCTATCATCAAGCATACCTCAAAGTAGAATATAGCTGCAAGAGTTCTGGCCATTGCATGCAGCTGCAATCCAGATAGTAGGAAGGAGAAAGGTTCCTCTTAGTTGATAGAACTACTTTAACAACCCTTCCTAGAAGTTCCACACAACACTCACATTTATATCTCTTTGGTAGACCATAGTCACACCCCCATATTTAGCTCGTGGTGTCAAATATTTGATAATATTGTCCTATACAAATGCATATTACTTTCCCTGGTTCAATTTTATATATATGTGATTTTGTCTCTGTTCTTTTCAGTTAACATTATATAGAGGGGGGCAAATTGATTTCACCTTTTCAACATTCCTATTTATTGGTGGGGGCTGCCTGGAGTGTAATGTTGATAAGATTCTGGGATCTCATCTAGGCTCTGATTGATCAGTAATGTCTGTCATTGGTAGGAAAGACAGCAGTGGGTATTTCATTATTTTACACTCAGATCCTAACCCAGAGTCTTCATTTTATAGATGAGGAAAATAAAAAATGTGATTTTACATGAACACTTAATTTCTCCTCAGTAGTGTTTACATTTTACTGTTTCTAAAACAAAGGCAATAGCCCAAGAAAAACCCAAATAATTATAAGTTTCAGAAGGACACGTTTTCTTCTTGAAGTCAGCCTCTTTCTAAGTTCCCATTTGTATCCTGGGCCTAGTAATAATCAGATTGTCTGTAGCCCTGGTCTTTTTCTCCATGCAGCATAAAATTGAATGACTGTATTGATTTCATCAGGGAGTTAGGAGGCACCATCACCAATCCCTTGTTGTTGTTGTTGTTGTTGTTGTTTGGCAATGTATTGTCACTTGGGATCACAGACCACAGCTTAGAGGTAAAATCACCTGAGAGGATGTCTGATTAATTGTTGCTGCTGCCCTTCTCTCACTTCTTTCTTGTCAGTGTCATATTTGAAACACAAGTGTTTTCATCTTACTAATTTCATATTGCATCAACAGGAAAAAAAAGTCTTACTTTAGGTTTTTGATAGCCCAGTTAGCAGGTCTTTCTCACCCAATCGTATTTATCAAAACAGTAAAAGTGCTAAACCTCACAGTGTTAACATATGTCCACTTAGAGAGCTTGGTGTGGTGCCAAAGGCAAGATCTCAATTCTTCTATAAATAAAGAGAACCTTATTAGCCGGATTTTCTGGTTATTTGTGCCTGTAGAATATCTTTTTAGGAACCTTTTGTGGTTTTATAAGATCACACTACCTGCTTGCTTTGTGATCTGTAGTAGGTTATATTAGTGGTTCTCAAATGGAAAATGGTCATTCTCAGAGGCAGTTTCACTCCCCACTCCAGGGGACATTTGGCATTGTCTGAAGACATTTTCGATTGTCACAACAGGAGGTGGGAGAGAGAGGTGCTACTGGCCTCTGGTAGGTAGAGGCCAAGGAAAGCTGCTGAACATCCTATAAAGCCTGGGTCAGCCCCCACAACAAAGAAATATGCAGCCTAATTGTCAGTAGCACTGAGGGTGAAAAACCCTGGTGTAGACCTGTGGTCCCCAACCTCTGGGCCACGGACCCCGGACCCCGGTACTGGTCTGTGGCCTGTTAGGAACTGGGCTGCACAGCAGAAGGTGAGCAGCGGCAAGCCGGCAAACCTTCATCTGTACTTACAGCTGCTCCCCATTGCTCAAATCACCACCTGAGCCCCGCCCCCTGTCAGATCTGCAGTGGCATTAGATCCTCGTAGGAGCAGGAACGCTACTGTAAAGTGCGCATGAGAGGCATCTAGGTTGTGCGCTCCTTATGAGAATGTAATGCCTGATGATCTGAGGTGGAGCTGAGGCGGTGATGCTGGCGCTGGGAAGTGATTGCAAATACAGATTATCATTACCAGAGAAGTTTGCACAATAAATGTAATGCTCTTGAATCATCGCAAAACCCACCCCCCACCCCCCACCCCAGGTCTGTGGAAAAGTTGTCTTCCATGAAACCCGTCCGTGGTGCCAAAAAGGTTGGGGACTGCTGGTGTAGGCAATGCATCCAATAATTAATACATTATATGAGAATTAAAACCATAAGTCAATTAAATAAATTTTGGGGATGAATCTGTTTCTCCTAATCAAAGATCTTGTCAAACCATGAACACATTTAGAGTAACTGGTAGGTCCATTTGTAACCATAAATTATTTCAAGATGGATTTTTGGTTTTGTGTTATAAATACCCAATCACAGCTCTTGAAGTGTGAACTTGCTTTTTAAATTTTGTTGTTGCAATAATAACAGATACTTTTAACAGTTCCCCAGGGTAGTGCGTTACCAAGAGACAAGCAAGTCATCATCACCTACTTAGCCATCCAGACCTTGAAGAAAGGCAGGGGAGAGGGAATGCCAGACATGAGGGCCCCTGTCACATGTGCCAAGGGTGGACTCAAGCAGGCTTATTACTAGCACACGTGCAAAGACCAAAGGCTCCAAGGCAGTAACTATTCGAAAGATGCAATGATACATTTTTTAGTGCGCTATGATTAGCATGTCTCTGCACATGATCATGATCAGGAATTCTCAACCCTCATTGCCCATTAGGATCACCTGGGGAGCTTTTAAAACTAGCGGTTTCTGGACCCCCATCCCCTTGAAATTCTAATTTAATTGTTCTGGGATAGGACCTGGGCATAAGTATTTTTTAAAAGCTCTCTTGGGGACTCTAAAGTGCAGCTAAGGTTGAGAACCACTGATCTAGATATATTGGATTCTTTGTATGAATAAGGGAGCTAATCTTTTCCCTCAGTCCTTAGCGAATGTCATGATTAATGCTGGGAACTCCGCACTGTTTGACGTGGAGAGCAGATACCTCCTAAGGTCTATTCTTTTCATAAGGCTTTTACATCTGTTTCTCCAGCTCTGGCCTTTAGGAGTCATTCATCTCTTCATAGTAGCTTGTGCTGTGTTACCCTGTTAAGTAAACATATGTTGAACTTTTAAGTAAATAAGTTAGCAATTCCAGGAAAAAAAAAAAGAGCTTCT